GACTTTACACATTTATAATTTCTACGACTATCCGAGAGGGGAGGTTAATAAGGAAGGTAGGAGGGAGAAGGGGAAAGGAAGAGGGAAAAAAGGGTGGGAAAGGGAGAAAGGGAGGGGAAGGGGGCCTAAAGAGGAAAGGGAAGTGGGGAAGGTGAGGGACAACAGAGGGGACTTAAAGAGGAAATGAAAATAGGGGAAAGGGAGAGGGTGATCAGAGGAAAAAGGGAGATGGGAAAGGGATGGAATAAGAGCAAAGGAGGGGGTGGGAGAGTTTAAGGGGGGAGAGGAGGCGAGTGGGAGGGGGGGAGGGCAAATGTAGGAATTAAAGTGGAAAGTGAGGAGTGAATTTAAGGGAGATTTGGGAGTGGGAGTGGTTGCCAAAAAGGAAAGGGAGAGGGAGAGGAAGAAAGAAATGAAAGGGAAAGGAAGAGGGAGAGGGAGAGGAAGAAAGAAAGGGAAAGGAAATGGAGATGAAAAGGGAAAGGGAAGGGAGAGGGAGAAGAAGAAAGGAAGGGAAGGGCAAGGGAGAAGGAGTAGAAAGAAGGAGAGGGAAGGGAAAGGGAGAAGAAAGAGACGGAAGGCAAAGGGAGAGAAAGAAAGAGAGGGAAGAGAAAGGGAGAGGGAGAGTAAGAAAGGAAGGGAAGGGAAAGGGAGAGAATTTGGCGAAAGGTAGAAGGAGGAGAATGAAAGAGGAAGAGAGGAACATCTCAGTGAAATCATTACTACTGATTTTATTGTTGTTGTTCTTGTTACTTTATTATCATTATCATTATTTTATTATCATCATTGTTGTTATTGTTATCATTATTTCTTATTATTACTGTTTAAGTTTTCATTATCACCATTTATCATTATTGTTGTTGTTCTTCTTATTGTTATGATTATTATTATCATCATTATTAGTATCATCGTTGTTATTATTATCATCATTATTAATATCATCGTTGTTATTATTATCATTATTATTAAATTCATTATTACTATAGCCTCGGGACAGTTCATGCATAGTTGTATTCCATCTATCTATCCTTTAGAATATTTAGAAACTTACATACAAATAAAAGATCAAGCATTAAAGAAAAACAATATATTATACAATAAAAGTACAGAATACAACGAACCAACAATTTAAAAACATTCATAAAAAAAGCGAAATGCGCACAACATTCCGTGCAGTTCGCCTGTCAATTTGCTCAAAAGTGTGGCAATAATCAAATTCTGAGACACTTATATGATTATCAGGTATCTTAGGTAGTTTTGTCATAACAGTAGCACATTATAAAGGCTGGGAACTTGTTAACAATTGTCACTTACATTATATAAAGAATCGTAGAAAAACAAAATTAAAAACCAAGGCTAATGATTAAAAGAATCATGGATAAACAAAAAAATGTATACTGTACACAAACACACACATACACGCACAAACGCAAACACATACACACACACATACATACAAACACACACACACACAGACACACACACTCATACACACACAGACACACACACACAGCCACACACACACACACATACACACACACACACACACACACACACACTCACACACACACAAACAGACACACACACACACACACACACACACATACACATACACACACACACACACACAGACACACACACACACACACACACACATACATATATATCCCTCACACATTTAACACCTCATACTACTCAAGAACACTACAAATCACAATAAAACACCATTACATGAAGAATAAAGACGCGTACCTTTCCCATGATTCTCTTCCCAAATTCAAAGATTTTTTTTTTTTTTTTTTTAGTCCAGACAAGATCCGACGAGCCATCCGTCAGGTTTGATTTAAATCCCAATCAAAAGGCTGATTTCTCTATATCTTCTATACATGTCATCAGATTGATTTATTGATGAATGTACAATTATAAAATTATCATTCCTCAAATTGAGTTCAAAATAAATGGGAACGACAATATACTCTCTCCCTCCCTCTCTCTCTCTCTCTCTCTCTCTCTCTCTCTCTCTCTCTCTCTCTCTCTCTCTCTCTCTATATATATATATATATATATATATATATATATATATATATATATATATTTATTTATTTATATTTATATATATTTATATACATACATACATACATACACACACACACACACACACACACACACACACACACACACACACACACATATATATATATATATATATATATATATATATATATATATATATACAAATCACTGCTAATAAGAACAATGTAACCGGGAAACACAAAAGCCTTAACATACAGATCACACCCCCATAAAACACAGGAAGCAAACATACGTGGATAAACTGGTCATAAAAGCAGAAAATTATATAGAAAGTATGCATATTAAATTTACATCAGACAGTGGCACAGAATATCACAAAATATCACAATTTTGTTCTTAATTATCTTAATGAAATACTCCACCCCCCACAATTTTACGTAAATGAGTCAATCTCATGTGGAAGTTAATGTTCCTCAACTGGTAACAACACAACAATTTTCTGTACAGATATAGTATTTTTTATCTCTGACTCCCAGCATCCATTTGTTTATACATTAGTGTACAATCACGTACCAAATCATCCTTTCCAAAATTAGCAACCATAACCTTAGCTAATCTCCATTGTCTCTTGAGGAAATTTGCATCTGTTAAGCTCTCAGGAAACTGATCATATTCCAATTATTTATCATTTGTCCAACTTCTTTGTTGGCTGATACCAATTGAAAGCATTATCTGAACCCAAATTATGAGGAAACCATCTTATACTAGTAAATCTAACCAATATGTTAATTAAGTCCTCTGCTAATTCAAGATATCCCACTCGATATGAAAGGCAAGTAAAGACTACACCATTAACCTTTGCTCTAACTCTGGACTTCACCGCATCACGTACTTGGAGTGGACCAAAAATATCTAACAGTGAAAAGTATAGAGGAGAAGGCATGAGTTGCTCGTCCGGTAAACTGAGCCTTTGCTTACTGATGCACCTGTCTTGTTTACGGCACCCGACACATTTAATTTCTTGCTTTGGGAATCCAATACTTTGACTGCAACTTTGCTAAGGTACTTTCACTCCTCCCATGATCAACTTTAGGTGTATGCTTAATCAACAGTTTGAATAAAGGAGGTCATTAATTAAGTTTGACACCAAGTCCCTTAAATCTGCTTTTCCAGTTATGACTACTAGATGTTTGTGCTTTGTGGATCTAGAAAGCTTCTGCCTCCTCCTTCTCCTGCTTCTGGGTCTACAAATGCTGCTTCCTTTTCAAAATCGTAGTTAGTTTCCTTTACAATACACCCAAGCAACGTGCTAGCACTGCCAGCTAGTCTAGGTAACTGAACTGTCTCAGGTTTGCAATCATGTTTTTTTTTTTTTTTTACAGTAATCGATATTCATCCAAATGAGTAGTTGGTTAATTTCCAGCACACATAAGCACAACCACCTGAGAACAATATCAGGAAGGGACCACCAACGACATTGCCGGGTTTCATACAGCATGTGAATTCCAATTGCTCAGGATCAGACATATCCTTGAAGAATAACAAATCCCTTGTATAAACTTTTTTACACAAAAGGCGAACTCCAGTTATTCTTGATCAGACATATTGAAGAATAACTTAGTTCTTGTATAAACTGCTTCATCGATGGGTTCATCCCGACCAATACGTGGATTATTAACAATTACATCCCGCATGAGAAGTTTTATTTCGAGAGTGAAAGGAGAAATCTGGCCAAGTGGATCATACAGAGTAGCAACCTGATTAAATATAATTTTCTATTTCAACTCTTGTCAATTTCGGGCCAGATTTTAGATTTCTAAAGCGCTTTGAAAAGTTCAAATGTACATAAAAAATGTCAGGCCGCTGCCCAAACCATGGCTTGAACTTTCTCCTTATTCGATGCCGAAATTCCTGTAAATATCCACAATTTTATATTATTACTATTGTCATTATTATTATTATTATTATTATTATTATTATTGTTATCATTTATCATTATTATCATAACCAATGTCATCGTCATGTCATTGTCATTGTAATTATCATTATCGTTATTATTATTATTATCATTTATCATTATTATCATGACCAATGTCATCGTCATGTCATTGTCATTGTAATTATCATTATTATCATAACCAATGTCATCGTCACGTCATTGTCATTGTAATTATCATTATCGTTATTATTATTATTATCAACACCTCGTAAGGAAAGAAAGAAAAATAACCAAAAAGTAGGTTTTTAACACCTTGGAAAGAGAGAAAGAAAAAGAATAAGTAAAGCAACCTCTTAACCCTTTGAAAAGAAAACATAAAAACAAATAGATTAAGCAAGAGGAGGAATTAAGACCTTGAAAAGAAAGGAAGAAAAAAAATGGCTTAACATCTTGAATAGAAAAAAGTAGTCTTTTGGCACCAAACAGCTTCTGAAAGAGAGTAATCTAGCCGTAAATAACAGGTCATCGTTGTATCCGCAGAGCTACTCGTTCTGATGGTAGGTTTAGCATCCCCATCAACGGTGATATTATCTTGAGAAACCTATTATGGCTGGGTTGTTGGTCACGATAACGCTGGGTAAACGATCATTATCTGTTATTATCACCGTCTTCATTGTTTTCGTATTGGCACCGTCAGCCTGGGTAGCGACGGTGCTGGTGGTGGTGCAGTAAGGAAGTGGGCAGGTACGGCTAACAGGGACTAATGGTGTGGTGCGAGTTGGCTGTTAATGGTAGCCAGATAGCAATAGCGGAGGCAGGCGGTCTAATGGAGTTGGAGGGGCCCTTGGTAACAGATCCTGAGCTGATGTAACACCGGCGTGGCACGAGGCAGGGAGGTGTACTGCCGTAGTACGCGCAGGTGATGTACTAGGCCTGTGCTGGTGGGATGGGGAGGGGGAGGAGCCTCACGAAGGGGGAGGGGTGGGGTGGGGAGGCCAGGGACGGTGCGAGCAGCCAGGCGTCACCA